GATGCTTTGCAATGTTTAAGAGCAGATATAAGTCAACCTCTTTTTAGATAACTTATAGCAGCTGTATCTTGAAAAGTTCATGTCACTGCCTCGGTATCTGCTCTTGGGCGTTGCATAAACAAAATGCTAAAAAGTTATGATAACTTTTAACGTTTAAATTATATTAAAGTAACCAAAATATCTTTACAATCCACAAGGCATGTCACAACTTTTGAGCACCCCTAATGTTTGGAAATTGAATGTTGAAAAAATTTGACAGACCCTAACGGGGTTAGACTAGAAAACTGCTAAGGTCCATTCCAACTCGGTTATTCTGTAATTCTGAAATGTTGCATATACAGGGACAGCACCTTTGCTTTCCTGACGATTCCAGAGAAAGTATATTTGTATCTATAGCATGCAGAAACAAGAGAATCTTTTAATACAACCCTAAGAGTTTGCAAACACCAAAGCCAATTCCAAAAGAGGTACTTTTTACACCTCCCCATTCATGGCGAAGCATTATTTACATAAAAGTTGTTCATGGAAGTGTGAAACCCAAGTATGTGACAAATCCCAACATGCAGTGCAACACTCTTTTGGTTAAGGAGAAATAAGGCTGTACCGTCAGGATTTAGAACAGTGGGAGAACAAGTCTAGCCATTGTATTGGAAATCTTAGTACCAGGTGGAGAATCAATGATTGAATGCCTTGTTGGGGAGCAATAATCGTTGTTTCATTTATGTAGTTGTCCTTTACATGGAACTGCCCTACATGCAACTGTTAAAGCAGCAGTTCCCAATTTTACATTCTCTAGATACGTTGAGAGTTTCCACTTAGCATGGGAATAGTAGCCCCAACACATTTGGCAATTATATTTTAGTGATGTCTGTATTAAACAAAACGCTTATTGTAGGGGGTGAAATGCTACTGGTTCGTGCCGGTTTGCCCAAACTGGTAGTAAAAAGTGCTAAACAAAGTTAAAAAAAATTCTAACAATCACATGGCACTGCTGATTGTTGCACAGCTGATCATTGGAACTTTTTTTTTAACTTTTAAAGCATTTTTAAACTACTGGTTCTCCTAAACTGGTAGTTAAAAATTGCTTTAAAAAAATAAAAAAAAAGTTCCCACGAGCAGCTGTGTGACAATCAGCCGTGCTGCATGATTTATATTTGCTAGAAAGCAGGAAATCCTGCTTTTTGACGAATCTATATCTCACGGCACAGCTGTCCCCCCCCCCCTCGCTGTTCTACTTACCTTTGTAGACTCAGAAAATGCTTCTTAGCGCCTGCGGTGTGCATGTGCGTGAAGCACACGAAGCAAACCGGTAGCAGACTTCAGAGCATTTCACCCCTGCCTTATTGACAATTAAATAACTAATTTTAGGGAAACTTAAAACTGAATTTTGTCTTTAAAATTTCTGAGCGATACCGTAGCAGTATCTGAAGATACAAATGACACAGCCGCATAAATAGAAATTTAGTTTTGGAATGTTTCTGCTGGAGGAAATACACAAGATTCCCCACTTTTCATCCCCATAAAAAGCTGTTCTATCTATGGAAGTCAGAATGTAGGAATAGCAGAAGTAAGAAAAGCCATTCAGATATGCCTCTTCCACTTATATCAGCAAAATGTCCTTTGAATCCCAGTCCTTCCGGAATGGAGGGAACCTTTTCAGTTGTAAATGAAAACTAGTCTGTATTATGTATACCTTCTAAGCAATTTATCCTATGGGATTTAATAGAATATGGTTTAACTCTGCATTAATATTCATATGAAGGAAAGACTAGTTCTGAAAAACAATAGAAGCGGATGAAGAAGCAGAGTGTCTTGTAGATTTGACTGTCCACAAACTGAAAGGCTCCTTCTATATATAGAAAGCATTTGTCCTTGTTTCTTATTGGAAACAAACAAAGTTTCTTCCAAATCCACTAACATTATTGCTGACATTAGTGGAAAGGGAAATAAAGGAGAGAGTTTGAGGAAATGTCAGGACAATTGTTTGTTCCCTTTATCAAACAAAATGTTGTGTTGGTAAACACAGATGTAAAAGGAACAAGATAGGATATGAGTACTTATTGGTCAGAAGGGCTTTATATCAGCACAAACGTCATATGTCTCTGGACATTTTTTTAAGAGAATAGGAATAAAAGCATGATATTGCTCTCATATTTTGCTATGAGACCTTTATTTGGCACAAGTTTTGTTGTGGAAAAAGTATTGACCTAGAAAAACGTTTGACTTGAACTTTATATTCTCTTGCCCTTAGAGAATATATGAGAAGAAGAATTGTGGGAAACAATCCAAAACATAATTTTTATCACTGAGATATTTCAATAATAAAATGCATTACACTTTTAGAAAAGAGACTGGATGAGAGTGGATTACTGCATGATGGGATATGTAGTCTCTGGACACAACAGTTCCATATTGAAGAGGACAACCTTGAGTCAAAAATTGGCATTGAGTGCACAAATACGTATGAAAACTAAAGCTCAATATGATTTAATTATTGCTGCCAAATAAAATGAATAATTTAGTGAAAATCAGAATGAAAACTAATAAGAAAGCAAGTAGAAAGATATAGCACAAGCGATCAATTAAACAGAAGCCCTCTTTTGGGCTTCTATTTTAATTGAGGTAGACAAGCTACTGGTTTAATGTAATAAAAGTCAGTATCTTTTATCCCTACAATTCTGTTTATTACAGTTAGCTGCTAGGTTATTTTACAGTTATTTTACAGCTAGGCTTATTACAGTTATTGCTGCTAGGGTAATATTTGGATATGTTTAATTGATGATTTATTGGTTTTATTTTACTAATTACTTTTGTGACAACTGGATAATAGTTAACTAGAAATCAATTTAGGTGAACTTTTATACAAGGCACAATAAATATTTTAGAATTTAAATATGTTAGTTCAACATATTCTCCAGCTACACAGTAAACACAGCTGGCTGAGGAACTCTGGGAGTTGAAGACCACAAGTCTTAAAGTTGCCAAGGTTGGAGACCACTGCTCTATAGCAGTTCCCCTCAATTTGGTGCACACCAACTATGTGGGCACCAGAATTCCCAGCAAATGACAAACTGAGAATTCTGAGTATTGTAATGCTAATTAAGCTTAAGGGCACCAGACTGGGGAAAGTTGCTTTGTACACTGATGGGGAAAAAAGAGGCACACCTGAACATACTTGTACATTTATGGATTGCAGCACCATAACATGCTGTCTATATCCTAGAGCAATCTGTAACTTTCCCAGCGCTATCTTTAACAATATCATTTGGGAATTTTTGCTTCTGAATAATCAGATCGTTGAGTCTAATAAAAGAAGGAACTTTAAAAATATTAAGATGTTATTCAACACTCTTCTCAATAACCATCGGGGGAAAGTTAATTTCTCCGGTATGTAGAAAATTAACAAGAGTCACATAAATGATAAGTATTTTTTCAAATAGTTTCTCTTTCATGACACAAAGATTAATGGATTTGTAGTTTGGTGAAATGTAAATACACTTTTTATAACTTAATTCTCTAACACAAATAATTTTTGCAAGAGTGGCAAATATCTGTAACTCGGGTGTAGGATTGGGGTGAAGGTTTGTTTTCCGAACATTTCATTACCAGGCTTGGTAACATCTTTAGCAGAATTAAGGGAATCCATCCCCAAACTCCACTGAAAATGTTACCTAGCCTGGTAACTAAACATTCAGAAACAAGCCCACAAGTTTGCAGAATGAATCTTCACCCTCACAAATTATTTCATAATAAAGTAGAAAAGCATTTACTTTATTTAAAAATTGAATATTTTTAGCTTTTCTGATTTCAGTAGGAGCCAAGGTGTACTTAAGATAATAATGCTAAACTTCTTATTTGGTGCCCAGGTAGACTACCTTCTGATTATTGTTATACTCTTTCTGCAAATCTCACATTATAAAGTGCTATACTAGTTAGATTATGCCCTTTTAGTTTGCTTATTTAGCAGCAGTTTTTAAACAGTTATTTAAAAATAAAAGCATAATTTGATTAGGGGGATTTTCAGAAGGTGCAGCAGTCTATTTTTTGCTCCCATGAAGCTTTTCTTTTATTCTAAATTATTTTTCCTTTAGTTTGTAAGTTCATTAAATAATGTAAGTAGCAAAACAATGAATGCTAACACCTTTTCTGCTATGCAGTTATATATAACTGATAATGCTTGCTTAGTCCTTAGAAAATAACCACAAAATAGAACAGCATTATGTTTCCTCCCCGCCCCAATTAAAAGCAGACACAAATTATCATTCTCATTAGCTCACAAACATATGCTGCAGCCCATCAATTATATATTATTTTAAAGCTTACCTAATGTAGTTTAGCTAACATTTTAGAAATATATATTATTTCTAATTCCATGTGCCTGTTGAAATCTCATTATCTCAGATGATACTGAAAGACTGTCATGAAACAGTATCATGTATTACATACAGACATTATTTTAATGCAATAAACATGTGATTTTTAAGGTTCTCTTAACAAACACACATGTTTATTTTTTGCTAAAACATGTTTCTGTAAGTGTCACACCTATCTTTTGCAAGTGTTTTATCTTTGGTTTTCCAATCATGAGGTTCAAAATGTTGTCTCAATATTTATTTGATAAAAGGTCAACAATGCAATCAATTGACATGGTGCTGCTGTAACTTTTGTTTTCTATAATAAATCACATCCAATTCTGTAGAACTGTAAAACATGGGTGTGCCACTGAAACATGCATTTTTATATTTTTGCTCCTTATGAACCAGATAACACATGAGATGCAATGGAAATTTCCCCACTTGTAGCAATTTTTGAACTGTATTTCTCCTAAGCATGGAAGTAAATGGTTGCTAGATTTTTCAAGATGCCTTAGTATTGGTAGAGACTGCATCTCATGTGGGATGTATCTGGAGTTTTATTATTTGTTTTATAGTGTCATTTCAATGTAATGTGCTGTTCTTTGTGTCTTTGTTGTCTCTTTTTTTTCTTTGTCCCCCCAACAGCATTTTGTCCCGCACAGGGAAGAAGGAGAATCAAGATGCCTCCAATTTGACAGTGCCCATGACCATGTGTCTTTTTCCTGTGCCATTCCCACTCACCCCATCTCTAAGACCACAGGTCAGTTCCATCAACCCTACTGTTACTCGCTCCCTCCTTTACAGCGTGCTGCGAGATGCTCCTACTGAACGAGGAGGCCAGCAAAGTCGGGATGCTCAGTTATCTGACTACCCATCATTGGACTATCAAGGACTATACGTGACATTGGTGACTCTGCTGGATCTAGTTCCTTTGCTACAACATGGTCAGCATGGTGAGTGAATTCTTCTTATACATGATACATAAAGATAGTAGGGATATGCAGGCATATTTCAAAATATCTCCAAATCATCTGCCTTCAGATGTATTTGGATTAAAGTGGCCATCTTCCCAGTCTATGGCCTATTAACCATACTACCTCTTATTATGGATTTTTTGTAGTCTAGCTAAAGTCTGAGAGGGGAAGGTTGGCTTAATATTAATTTGTAAAACTTGAGTCGTTGTTAATTGCCACAGATAAAAATGTGTGTGAGTACATAATCGCATATGCACACACAGTATTTTATATATTGAATTAAGAAATGGCTTGTCAGGTTTCTTTTTATAAGCTATATTCAGCTTGTTTTGGATCTTACATTAATATTTTGTCTTAATAAGATAAGAAATTATGTAATTGATTTTTGGTAGTAATAATTTCAGAGTCTCAGTAAATTGACAAAAATATTAAAGAAGTGACCTGGAAGCTTCTGGGTTTCCATATCTGCACCTGGAATAAATAGATATTCAGTCTGAAATTTATACACACACATATAATATTAACTACTGTATGTATACATAGCAATATTTGCAAACTTTGAAGCATGCAGCGTTCTTCATGTATTCTTGTCATTATTTCTTTTGCGTGAAAAGTGTGTGTATCAGCTCACATGTATTCTTGCCACATGATCTGAATTCCTACTCATTGATTCCTAAATATAACCAACATTAATGACAATATATAAAACATTTTAAATAGTGAGATCACTTTAAATAGCATATATGTGTGTGTATGTGTATATGTATATGTGTGTGTGTGTAGATTTGATGCATCAGATCAATGTGTGACAGAAATATAGAAGTATATTAATTGTTTTCAGTATAAATTTACGTTCTGTACAAAGATTTTTGTGGTAATTGGTACAAGTGCTATAGCTGAATTGAAACCCACTTTGAAATATTGGGACCATATTTAGCTGCACGTCCAGAAATCTCATGGACTAAAAGTTTCTTAGATATTACAGTGTTGTAGAAATGGCTGTGTTGCAGCCAATACTAGACAGGTTCATGATCTATTAATTTCAATTGGATCAACTTAGTGATTGAAATCAATCATAGATACTCCAGGTATAGAATTGCTACTAGTTTCTGAATATTTGGTCCTTTCCAGATTAATGTTTCAACCTTCAATTTAGCACAAAGTGTTATCCAATGGGTTAGCAGGAAATATCTTTAAGTGTCAGTACCAGGAGTTCCATCATCAGCTTTTAGAGACAGGCCAAAGATCTGCTGGTTATGAGTTGTTCTTATCACTTTTTGGATGTGCAAGGATAACAGTGAGGTGATACAAAGTGGGCACACATAAGGTTTTAAGAAATTTTCCTGTTCTTTGGTGGTGGTGGGGGTGTCAGTTTTGGTTTTAGGCTATTTTAGGGCATAAACGCTAATTTCTTGCCATTTATTGTGCCTTCTACCAATGTATTTAGAGGGTGCTCCACGGTTGGCTAAAGAACCTCAGATTTTTTTCTTTTTACTAAATAATGATAGACCAGGCACTGCAGACTATTTCTTTTATACTTTACTGAAAAGACAGTGTCATGTCAGGGTAACAATTGCAAAGCCAAAGAAAAATCAGTAGCAAATCTTAATCTATTTAACAAGCTAATAACTATACTATATATTTACAGTAATTATAATAATACAACCAAAGGGGAAAAAAGAAAAAGAAAATGAGCTTTAACTGAATTTCTACTTACATTAATCTATTTACAATTTTTTCATATTAAATCCATAATTCAATAGTTCAATTCATAATTCATAATTCAATCTTTATTTTCCATACTAACAGTTATTGACATTCATCAACTTGCCTCTCATTTCTCAGGCAGTGTAGACTATTGAACATAATGTTTCGACTCTAGTTTTTTCCCCATCATCTTCCTTCCCATTTCAATCTTTTTACCTCTTCTGCTAAACCTGATTAACTCACAAGAACATAAAATAGAAAAAGCCCTTTCACACAGTGATTGCAATTGTGCATTCATATTGTTTGTTCTTTGTGCCTCTGACAGATCTTGGACAGTCCATTTTTTATACTACTACATGTTTGCTACCTTTTCTCAATGATGACATCTTGAGTACTTTACCGTATACAATGATCTCTACTTTAGCTACATTCCCACCGTTTCTGCACAAAGATATCATAGAGTATCTCAGCACATCATTCTTGCCCATGGCGATATGTGAGTAAATTTGGTTAATTTGTATTTGCATGTAAGTAAATCTGGCTTCACTTGTGAAGGAGAATAGCATATCCTGCTTTGGAGGGTTGGTTTTTAGAATACCCAAAGAGCTATGAATGCATGGGATGAATTGGCCAAAGGATTCAAAAGTATTTATTTTTTAAAAAATCTGGTCATCTATATTATCATAAGGTGCCTCTGGGTGGTATACATTGATAAAAATTTATGTACATTAAAGCAAATAAATTAAAACCAAAGTTTAAAAACTAAAGATATGCAGGGTGGGCAGGGTGGTGGAAAGTGGGGAGGTAGGACCCGCTGTTAATCACTTCCAGTGTGTTGTTCCCTCATTGGGGCCCAAGGCCAACTGGCAGAGCCAGGTCTATAGGCCTTTACAAAAAGATAGGAGGGTTGGGGCCAACCTCCTGTCGGGGGCAAGATGTTACAGGGGACAGGAGCAACAGCAGAGAAGGCCCTCCTCCTGGACCCTGAATTCAAAAGTATTCCTTGTACTTCTTAGCTTCCAGCTTTTGTTTTTAATAATTAAGAACTGTAGATGGATGATTCTAGGCAAATAGAATTGTTGTGGGAAATAGTTTTCCCACAAGCCTACTTAAGGGCTTTTGAATCTCCTAAAGCTGTGTACATCCCCATGGGGATTCCACATGCCACTGGATTGGGCCTATTTTGCACTGATATGCAAACTCCTCTTTCAAGAAAATAAAATTCAGAAAAGACAATACATTTAGGGTTAATATAAGAGCTGGTTCTTTAATTGATAAGAAATCTGGTAGCCATTCCCAAAACAATCAACAAATTTGGTCTGTCCTTTTCTCACAAAACAGAGAAATTAATATCAAAAGAGCAGGAGAAAACAAATCAAAACTTTCATACCCTAATTTGTTTAGATAGATATTTCTCATTTGAAGTACAGTACTTGCCAAAATTTTAGCATTGCTACTTTAGTCTTTTTCCCAATACACCTTATTAAACAGATTTCTGACATATTTTTTTTCTTGAGGTTTACAGTATTCAGACCAAGTTGTTTGCTGCAAAACAGGTTTCATGTCAATACTTTAGGAATTGGGAGCTCAATCTGATTGCTGTGAACAGTTTCTCTGATACTCAATGGATACGTTTCCATTTTAAAAAGTATTTTCATTAACAAAATAAGGTAGCATGCATTAAATTTATTGCATCCCCAGAGGCCCCATTAATATTGGAAAATAAAGGCTAATTGCAATCCAATGCTTGTTTGAAAGTATGCCTCAATATAGTAATAATATATTAATTGCACCTTATTTTAATGTATATTTTATCCAGAGCTCATATTAAAATACTACTAATAGAATGTTATTTCTCTTTTTAAATGTCCTCTCCTCAAATGTTTGATTTCCTATTCCTTGTTTTGTATTCACCAGAATAAGCTATTTGCAATGTTTGAACAATATATGCACCTCCCAAATCATGTAGCATTTAGGTTTTTGTGAGAATCTTCCAAAACTTCTCACCTCCATCAAATCTTAAAAAGAAAAAAAACACCTGAAATAATTGGCTTGTGAGCTTCTAGATGGCTGGGAAGATGGTTTGTCTCAAATTTGTCTACTCTTGAGCTATATAATTTTCTACTCCCCCTTTATTCTCCCTGCATTATTGTCACTTGGATAAAAAATGTTAATCTTTTGTTATATGAAGCTCCATATTTACTATACTATACTATACTATACTATACTATACTATACTATACTATACTATACTATACTATACTATACTA